TGAGCTGGGTGGGGTTGCAGGGCAGCCAGACACCCTCCATGGATGGTGGGGGGCTGACCCCATCTCCCTTCTTCCCATCAGGTCTCCTATGAAGACGTGAATCGGCTGAAGAAATTTGGGGTGCTGGAGAAGACCCGCATCCCCCATTTCATGCAGGACCTGGAGCGGTACATGAAACAGCTGGACCACATCGTCACCACCAATGGCCTGGACGAGGAGGAGCTGGAGCAGCTGCTGCCTGACTGAGGGGCATCCCTCCGAAAAAAAAAAAACCAATAACTGGTGCTGTTGACTGGATATTTATAGGGGCTGGAGCCTGGAGGAGAAGGCAGCGCCCGGGCAGCCGCTGTGCATGTACTGCTGTGTAGGGTAGCGTGGCCGAGAGGGCCCGTGTGGTTCGTGTTGATGTGTCCCCCCACCCCACGCCGTCCTCCAGGCACTGGGGATGGCCACATGGTTTTGGGGAGCGGGAGAAGAGGGTTCAGAGGGCGCGAGGGCAGAGCCAGGGAGATGCTGGTCACCCCAGAGGGGCAGAAGGCCGTGCTGGGGTTGTAGGAATGGTGGTTGGGGTACAGGGGTGCTCCCAGCAAAACAGAGGCACCAGCTTGGGGCCAGCAGCCAGGGCTGGGGGCTCGGGGCTGTGCCTGGCAGGGAATAAAGGCTGGCCTGTCCCCACCCCTCATCCTGTGCATGCGCTTCCCACTACCTACCCCTGCCAGCTGCAGGAAGGTTCATTCATTAATTAATCAATCCCTCAACCTCTGCTCTCCCCCCCTCAACTATTTGCCCACAATTAACCATCTCTCCCCCTTCCCAACTGCAGCCCCTCTGCCTGGCTCTGAGGATGCAGGGTGAGGACTGGGCTTGATGTTAGGAAAAAGCGTGTAATAAAAACGATGTCATGGAAACGATGCGCGGCCCAAAGGTTGTGAGTGGCATCAAAGGCCAGGCTGGCACCACTGTGACGCCCCCATTTGCCCAGGCAAAGTGTCACAGCTCCGAGCAGGAAGGGGGGCACTGGAGTGTGCAGAACATGCTGAGCAGGGACAATGTTTATAAAACAAAGTAGGTGAACGCAGAAGCTGCCCAGAGCTGTTCCTGGTCTCAGCAGCAGTCCTGAACTCCCCCCTCGGCTGTGACACCCTGGGGAGAGCTGATTGGAAAGAAAGAAGAAAGATTTAAACCCCACAGATTTAATTTTGGATGCTTTTAGCTGTAGCTTTTCATCCCCCTGAGCCTCTTCAAAGATAGCACAGGCCAATGGGTGGCTCCAGCGAGCCCAGGCTCAAGTCCAAAAGCTCTGAGGTTGGCTGCCAGCCCAGCTCACAGCACCCCCAGCTGCCCCACACACCCCCCACACCCTGCAGTGTGTGGGCTCTGTAGCAGGCAGGGCAGCACAGAACGAGCACGGGGAGGGATGAAACCACTTGTCTTGAGGGATTTTGTTTCCTCTCGGGTCCAGGTCTGCCAAGAACATGTTGGCAAGCTGGACAAGTGGACCCATGTGAAGCTCATCACATTTGACAAGGCCAAGTGCAAGGTCCTGCCTGTGGGCTGGGGCAACCTGGTGTCAGCCCAGGCTGGGGATGAAGGGCTGGAGAGCAGCCCTGAGGAGAAGGACTTGGGGGTGCTGGGGGTGAGGAGCTGGCCAGGAGCTGCTCTGGAGAGACCCCCCTGCAGTGCTGGGGCAGCTCTCGAATCCTCAGCACCGCCGAGACAGGGACCTGCTGGAGTGGGGCCAGAGGAGCCCCAGCAATGACCCAAGGGGGGAACCCCTCTGCTGGGAGCCCAGCAGGAGAGAGTTGGGCTTGGGCAGCTGCAGAGAAGGCTCCAGCTGGGGAGACCTTCTGGGGGCCTTTCAGCACTTCAAGGGACCTACAGGAAGGCTGGAGACAGACATTTGAGCAGGGCTGTTGGGACAGGACAAGGGTTGGTGGTTTGAAACTAAAAGAGGGAGATTTAGACTGGAGAGATGGAAGCAATGCTTGAGACTGAGGGTGGTGAGCCCCTGGCCCAGGTTGCCCAGAGAGGTGGTGGATGCCCCATCCCTGGAACCATTCCAGGTGAGGTTGGCTGGGGCTCTGAGCAACCTGCTCTAGCTGCAAATGTCCCTGCTCCCTGCAGGGGGATTGGACTGGATGGCCTTGAGCGGTCCTTTCCAAGGATCTTTAGCAGCTCCCGTCCCCTCTCACCCCATCTGAACACGCTGTGAGGACGGTCGCTCAGGCTCTGCTCTTTAATGCACCGTTCCCTCCAGCGCTGCTCTCCCCGAGCACCGCACGCAGCGCTGCTTCAGCAGGTACCCACACACCTCCCAGCACCCAGCCCTCCTCACGCCAGCTAGGCCTCGGCTGGCACCCAGGCCCCACCGAGGGGCGTCTCTGTCAGCCTTCCCAGCGGAGCGGTGACGGAGGGGGACACGGCTACGGCGATGGGTTCGGGTGGGTGTTGGTGGCACCCCTGATGACACAACAGCACGGAGACGAGAGGCGGGGTTGAGTCCCCCAGTCGGGGCTAGAAGCGTTTCATCTGGCGCCGCTCCTGCCGGCGCTGCCTCTTCTCGTTCGGCTCCTGCGCCGCGGGCGAAGAGTCGGCTGCGAACCAGGGCCCCAGGATGTTCACCCACAGGAGGTAGAGAGCGCGGCCCGGAGCCTGCAAAACACCCGTGGCACGACCTCGGTGAGCTGGGGACGGCTCTGGCACTGGCGCCACCACACCACGGCCAGGAGGGCTGGGTCCCGCCCAGCACGCCGGAGGAGCTGGAATGTCTTCGAGCAGGGGCATCGAAGGATGCGCGGAAATCCGAGGTGGTGGCGGGGGTCCAAAGTCAACGTCTGGTTCCACGGGGGTTAGGAAGCTGTGTACGTGTGCAGCACTGCGGCCTCACGCACGGAAATCCCGGCATCGGGTCCCAATTACCCCGTGAGGTTCGGCTGCCCCGGCGCTCGGCCTCTCCCTCCCTCAGGAAACAAACCCACCATCCTCTCAATTCAAAAATAAAAGCGTTGCAGATGGTGTGCAGAGGTCAGGCAGAGTGCGGGCTGCCCTCTGCCAGGCCACGAGAAAGGGACATGTGAGCAAGGACTGAACTGGGACTGAACTTTCTGTGCTCCCCAGATTGCCCTGGATGCACCTTTGCAGGATACACTCAAGGCAGCTGTGGGATTTTTTCTCTAGAGACTTTTTCCCTTCTCTAAAAGCAGTTTTAGCTTTTAAACTGCTAAAACTGCTAGGTTTTAAATTTTTTGTTTAAATTGCTTTGAGCTGAGCAGTTTTAGGCATGTGACAAACATCTCAGAAGTAGGAAGATGAAGGATTCTGTTGTGTTCTGGGAAAACCAAAGCCCACAGCCTTTGATCTCCTGAGCGGAGCAGCTCCCAGCCTCGGTCCACAGCCATGGCTTTGATCTGTCTCGTGTTTCTCGTCACCATTTCACAGGGCCAGAGAGAGAGGCCCGGGCCAGCCTGGTTTCGGCGTGGTTAGCTCAAAGGGATCAGGACTTCTGTCCTTTGTACGGTCTCGGTTTTAACAAGAGTTGAGGAGGAGACAAAAAAATTATCAGCAGAGAGTCTGGAACAGGGCACTGAGATGAAGTGGATAAGAGAGGGAAAGACAAGGACAGCACGGAGCCACAGGGAAAACCACAGGGGCTTACCAGGAGCCAGAAGTACCAGACGTAGAGCGAGAAGCAGCTCAGCACTTGGACAATAGCTGTCAGCAGGATCACATCCTTGAGGTGTCTGAGGGAAGAAGAGCAAAACCTTCACCCTCTGTCTCAGCCCCGCCGCGCTCACCAGCCCTTCTGCCCCCCGCCTGTGGGCAGGTTTCCGCCCAAAGGACCATCCCAGCAGCTTTGCTTTGCCCTGGGTGGAAACCTGGAAGAACCAGAGTGGTCAACATTAAAAAGAAATCAACCCGGTGAGTTCCAGAGCCAGGCTCCCTCTGAAAAGGGACATTGGGAAAGCTGAGGAATGCATGGGCGTGGAAACCAGCAGCAAAACTAACGCCCTGCAGCCCTGGAACCTTCCACGCTAGCCCCAGGCCGAGCTGAGAGCAGCCACTGAGGGTGACAAGCTGCTTCCAGCTCAACCACCACCCCGAGGGGAGAGGTAAATGGCTGCTGGGTTTTCAACATGAGCCACACCATGACTCAGAGAAACACCAGCTCCTGCACTGCCAGAAAATCACAGAACCAGGGAAGTGCTCTGGTTGGGAGACACCTTTTGGATCATCAAGTCCAACCATTCCCCCAGCACCGCCAGGTCCCCACTGACCCATGTTCCTCAGCACCACATCTCCACGGCTTGGAAACCCCTCCAGGGATGAGGACTCCACCACTGCCCTGGGCAGCCTGGCACAGCCCTGGACAACCCTCAAGGGGAAGAAATTGTTCCTCAGGGACAACCTAAACCTCCCCTGGGGCAACTTGAGACCATTTCTTCATATGCTGTTGCTTGTTCCATGGGAGAGGAGCCTGACCCCCACCTGGCTCCAGCCTCCTGTCAGGGAGCTGTGCCGAGCCAGAAGGTCTCCCCTGAGCCTCCTTTGCTCCAGGCTCAGCACCCCCAGCTCCCTCAGCTGCTCCTCACCACACTTGGGCTCTAGACCCTTCCCCAGCAGCTTTGTTGCCCTTCTCTGGCCACGCTCCAGCCCCTCAAGATCCTTCTTGGAGTGAGATTTCCAAAACTGGACCAAAGATTCGAGGTGTGACCTCCCCAGTGCCGAGTCCAGGGGGACAATCCCTGCCCTAGTCATGTTGTAGCATCATTCCCATTTGGAATTCTATTGCCACGTCT